TTCTTGGGTGTTCCCTTTGTAATACTTTATTGGTCTTGGACATACTAGTGGGTATGTTGAAGTTTATCTTGGTATCATTTAAAACTATGATGGCAAGAAGAGTTTCCACTGTTTTTGTCAGATTGCATCATATCAAATAGCCTATAGTCAGGAAATTCTCAGTCCAAACCTTGCAGAGACAAAAAAAAACTGAGATGATTTCAAGGAGGGTCCCTCTTTTTCTGGTTTGTATCAACTCTTTCTGGTTTGTATCAACTCTGTAAATCTAAATACTGTTTGCTATGTGCCCTGGATTGCAGAAGGAAAACAAGCAACAAAGCTTTAGCTGCTGAGAATAAATTTTGTTTCAACATTATTCTAAAGACTGTAGTTGATTGAAAAAACTCAAAGAAACAAAAATGGGACCTTATTCCTCAATGTCCTTGGTATTTTTAATTCTGAAGTCAATTGAATCCAAAACATCTGGCCTCACATCCATATTGTTCACTTTGATAGTGCTGAACAAAATAGCCCTTTAAAAATCATAGAGTCAGTTGAATTTCAGAACATCTACAGGTTCCATAATGGCAGATTTGGGCCAGCATTGAAATATGAGTGATCAGGAATCTGGTTCTTTTGTTCTGCTGAGAGCACATCCAAAATTTCCCCAGAGGCCGGCACCATGGCTCAACAGGCTAATCCTCCACCTTGCGACGCTGGCACACCAGGTTCTAGTTCAGTCGGGGCTCCGGATTCTGTCTCTGTTGCCCCTCTTCCAGGCCAGCTCTCAGCTGTGGCCCGGGAGTGTAGTGGAGGATGGCCCAGGTGCTTGGGCCCTGCACCCACATGGGAGACCAGGAGAAGCACCTGGCTCCTGCCTTTGGATCAGCACAGTGCGCCGGCCACAGCGGCCATTGGAGGGTGAACCAACGGCAAAGGAAGACCTTTCTCTCTGTCTCTCTCTCTCTCACTGTCCACTCTGCCTGTCAAAAAAAAAAAAAAGAAGCCAAAATTTCCCCAGAGCAGATGGCCTATGTGAACCTGATCCTTGAAGGCTTCAATGTAATTCTATTTAGGTCTCTGTGTAAGATAATGATCATGAACCGAAGGCCATGATCACCATGAATCTGACCCAAATCCAAAAGCAAAACACAGAGCTAATTATCACTGGCTCATTTTCAAAGGACTTACAATTCTGCATACGCTTGGTGCCCAGTGGCCCAGTTATAATTGGCTTTGTAGTTGAATTAAGCTTGGCTTTAAGTTATACAGTGGATAGTGTCTTCTCCCTGAAGACAAAAGCTGATATCCAGCAGAGTGTTGGCCTGAATACAGTCACCCTAAACCATAGAAGACGGCAGTGTTAAGTCACATGTGAGAAATGAGGAAGCTTTCTCAGTAAGGTGGTAAAAGTACCTATTGATAGATCTTAGCATTAAAAGTTCCTGTATGGGGCCAGTGCTGTGGTGTAGTAGGCAAAGCCTTTGCCTGCAGGACTGGCATCCCATAAAGGCACCTATTCATGCCCAAGCTGTTCCTCTTCTGATCTAGCTCTCTGCTTATGGCCTGGTAAAGCAGTGAAAGATGGCTCAAGTGCTTAGGCACCTGCACCCATATGGGAAACCTAGAAAAAGGATACTGGCTCCTGGTTTCAGATCAGCTGAGCTCCAGCCTTTGTGGCCATTTTGAGAGTGAACCAGCAAACAGAAGACCATCTGCCTTTCTCTCTCTCCGTCTGTAATTCTACCTATCAAAGAAATAAATAAAATCTTTTTTAAAAAGTTCATGTGTCTATTTGGTACTTTATATATGCATTTAAAGTTCAAGTGGAAATTTATCTTAATTTAATGTGTTATTTTTCTCATATAGGATTGTTGAAAGAAGAAATAGACTAAGTGTGTAGAACGACAATATATATGTGCTAGTAGAATATATGGCAATAAATTAACCCCTTCATTTTTTACATGGAAACCTTTGATCAAAGACTAGAACATTTTCTTCTGGTTCTAACTGTAGGACTCTACTTTAGGGTTTCTCACTCCCAGGCCATATTGGTTTTCCTATTTCACTAGATGGTGGAGAACCCCTCCTGTGGTGGGAAAATACAACATTAGGAACAAAGCAACATCCAAGAACCATCTAACACAGATGTTCAGGTATTTGGTTCTTCTAGCTTTGATTTGGATGACCTTTGGAAATGGAGGTGACTGTTAGGATAATAGTGGCTTTTGTAACCTTTTTTTAGGTTTTGATGTTGGTGTATGCTTATTGAAGGTAGTTGTTCCTTAGGTTTGAACATTTACATTAATTAGAATTTGATGACAATTTCACCCATTTACTTTTCTTCCCCTTTATCTATATCCCCCCATATTTTTCACATGTAATTCCTCTGTTGTAGCCAAATGCTACATTTTCCTACTTGTTTGATGATGTATCTGCTATTCTTTTACTGGATCGGGTTGGCAAACTATGATCTGTATGTTAGATCTGACTGGCATCTATTTTATAAATAAAGTTTTAT